TAATATAATAATATTTCTTTTTTTTGTCAGAATTTTTTGAATAGAAAGAAGAGCATTTATTTTGTTTATTATACATGTCACATTTAATCAATTAAATGCATCCTTGCTGAATAAAAGTATTAATTTCTTAAAAAAAAAAACCTACTGAATGGTAGTGTAACTGAATTGAAAACAGTCATAAAATAGTAGCATCTAAAATAAATACCTAGCTGGTTTCATAATCCAGTTCCATACTAAAAAGAGTCTCGTTCCATTTTTCATATTTTTCGACTCTACTTTCTGCTTGTGTACCTCTGTGGTTTAATATAATTCCCATAAAATAGCTGCTTTTGATGCACGGCTGTTTTCTTCTTTGTATCTGTAGTTATTTTCCCATCTTTCATAACACGTTTCCAGCTATAAAGTGTTCAGGTGAAATTGCAAACCAAGCGTTAGCACTTATTGTGCCGTTTGCTCTAGAACTCCACTATTACCGTATTTATGCACCCGCCGTATTCAAATCTAACTTAAAGAAGAATATATTGAGATTTTGCTCTGCATGGGGCAGAGGGAGGTTGGCCTCCACCTTTGATTTACTCTTTGTATGCGATTCCACCAGTGGAAAATGCGATAACGGGTAATCGGCCATAAAATGCAAATCGGCCTTTGCTGGTTTTTATTTCAAATGCAGTCGTGTTTTTGCTGTATGCAGTGTGAGGTCTGTTTATCAGTTATGTGACAGCTATCCTGTGAATGATACCGACGCAGGAGGTTCAGCTCTCAGGTTGTAACCGTGAGAAATGGACCGTTCCGAAAAGGCATCCAAAAGTCTTTCATTCTTTATCATAAAAGTTGAAATATATCTTTTTTTTTTAAACACTAGACGTACAGTCTGCGTACCCTGGGACGCCGAAGAGATTCCGCCGCAGTGATCGTCAGTGTTTATGATGCCAGCTAGCCTTGTAGCAAGCAGAATGTATTAATAGGAGAAATATCATCTGGGCACATGCCTTGTTTATAAGGGTGAAGTTTGGACTTCGGTGGTCTCTTAAAATTCCCCCTTGAGTCTATCCTTTGTGGAGAACGATCGCCCCTGCACAAGATTGACAGGGGGATCCAGTGATCAAAATAATTTAAAATGGAGAAATATCTATTTATACATTGACACTACTATTTGTTTATTATTATTATTATTATTATTATTATTATTAATAATAATAATAATAGAATAAAATGCTATAAAATATACATTCTAAACCCAAATTAGAACTAATGTAAATAACTAATATAGTTTAATAAAATTATTGTTATTATTATATTTCTGCCTATTATTATTTATTATTATACTTCTGCCTATTATTATTATAGTTTAGCCCTTCTACTACTACTACTACTACTACTACTACTACTAATAATAATAATGTTTTTTTAATAATAAATATAAATATTTTAACTTTGATTTGATTGATTGATTGAGGCTTGATTTGATTGATTGTTATGTAAGATCCAATTTTAAACACCAATATCTGAGTTTGTGGTCTACTAAATGTACGTCGGACATAATTTGACTTTCAGTAATATCAAATTCTTTCAACACCAGAAGGTCAGAAGTCTGAATTTAAAGTCTCTCCAAAATGCGAGTCTCTTGTCTCGCCTGCAGATGCAACTCCACTTACCTTGCTATAATAAAGGCCACAACATAATCATAATGTCCAATCCCTCAACTATTTGTGCTCCAAGGCTGAGGCTTGTTTGTCAAAAATGCCAAGATTAGCCTAGTATTTCTCTTTTTGAAGATTTCAAAAATCATTTCTTGTTTCAGTGAAATTGAGTTTTAGGTTAAGATACTTCTTACATATTACATAATTTCTAAGTGTTTTTCTGTGTGTTTTCCCATGTGCTTTCCCTATAAAGGAGAGTGGATGGGTTCTTTAGAAATTAGCAGGTGACTGTGGGGGGTTGTGTGTTTGTTTGCTGCGCCGCATGTGGTGTGACATATTATCAAAGCAGAAATGCTAACACAATTGTAAGATGCAGCCATCGGTGCACTGGCCTTGTATAATTTGTGTCTTATATTGTAACTCATAGATCAAATCCTGTCCTGGGAAATTTGCATGCACAGTACAACTCATTTATAGCAAGCCTGCTCATTGAAATGCTCAGAAGATGCTTGTTTACTGGGGTTTGGCAACTGTGCGCTGCATAGATATGCTGATTGGCAGTAGCCTAACTTGGGTAAACAGTGCTTGACCTGCAGTGACAGGAAATGAATTCCCACATGAAGAGTGCTGCACTTGTTGAGTGTGTCCTGATGCTGCACAGAGCAGCAAACCCTGTTCCAAGCTGCGTTCCAATTCATAGGGTCCCTAGTGTTCACTGCTCCCTACACACTTTGTAGGGGGAATATAACACTTTGCTTTACAAAATGTGTTTGTGTGGAAGGACCTACAACATCAGCAAACACAGAGAGCACAACATAATATACATGAATGAATGATCTGTCTGTCTGTTGTTTGTTCTGTCAGCCTTATCCATATGTCAGTCATTGGTTCTGTCTGTTTGATCATTTTATTCATTTGATATGTCTGTAATTCATTTTGTTTATCATTCGTTCTGTCATTTTTTTCATTTTATTGATCTTCTACATCTTTTAATCTTATTATTTATCTCTGTCTGTAATTTTTTCATTTGATCATTTATTTGAAATTAAACACTTGCTTATATGGATTAGTGAGCAGTAAATACTACATACTGTACTACAGAGCCCATAAAGTCACATTTGCAGGAAAAAATGGGAAGAAGAAAAATAAAAACTTCTGCATGTGTGAGGAACTTTAGAAATGGACAAGAAACTTTTAGTTAGTTATTTGTTTGTCATTTGTTCTATCATGCATTTAAAATTAAATACTTGCTTATATGGATTAGTGAGCAGTAAATGCTGCATACTACAGAGGGCCCTATAGCATTTGCAGGAAAAACAATAACAACAACAAAAAACTTCTGCATGTGTGTGAGAAACTTGAGAAATTACATTTTTATGAAAACATTTATTTATTTATTTACATGGGAAGTTTTTTTTTGCAGACAAAGTTTTCATGTGCACACACAATCTTGATGTAATTATTATTAAAGGAAATACTTCATTAATAAAATAGCAAATTAAGAAGTAACCAACAACAAGAAAATAATAATAACAATAATAATAATAATTGCTTAGCATAAATTTATTTTATTAGTTTATTAGACTTAATGGTGTTTTAGTATTTAAAAAATTATCATTAGCATTATGCAATTATAACTATTTTATGACAAAAGCATGGTACATTGTTGTCACTTGATGTCATGTTGCATGTTTTATTTGGAGAATAACAACTGGCTGAATTATTTAGCATTTCTAATTCATTATTGAGTAAAAGAGCCTATACATTTGGTCATTGCTTGCATAACGGAAAAAGAAAGACTTCTGCTGATATGAGTTTTTTTTTTTTCATTTTTGACACTGGAAACATAAGTTCAAAGTATACAAACTATAGAGGTTGTTGCAGAACTAGTAGTGTGCTGGTATGCCTGTCTGCGCTAGTCCCTGAAGCACCAGGCTATCTCGCCTCATTCTCTTGTTAATTTGGTGCTCACTGCCAACAGGTTAAGTGAAGCATCAGTGTCTAATTGACGGCCTGACCAATTAGTGGCCAGAGCTTCTCCTGCTCTTAAATCGGAACTAAAGACTAGAGCTAATCAATGCCTCTGCGAGTTCGTGCGATAACCTAAGGACCCTCTCTGGCTGCTTAACTCCAGGAGCACAGCTCTGTGAGGCAGATAAAGTCAAATTAAACTGCAATATTGAATGTAAGACTAGAACTGGATTACACCCATATCTGATACGTGTGTTTGCCGGCTTGGTGCACATGCAGATTTTCTTCTCCATGTCAGGATTCCCACAGGACAGGAAGTGTACAGGAGAGCGAGAATTGTAATTAGATGGCGTTCTGTGGTAATCCGCTGTGTGTGTGCAGGGAGCTATCAGAAACCCGATATGGAATGGGTCCAGTTTTCCGACAGTTGTCAGGAGTAAGTACAGCGCCCTCTCTAGGCTCTCCACAGTTACCTGACGAGGCTTGTCTGATGCCAACAGCATCTGTGTGGTGTTTTATCTGCCAGATGATGATATTTGCAACCGTTTCGAGATCAGAAAGTCTTTCACTTTACGGTTTCCGATTTCCAGCAGAAGGACATTTATAGACAGAAGGTCATTATAAGCTGCCTCAGTAAAGTTTGGTTAAAATAAAGTTGTGATTTCTTTCCACGGGTCTAAAGTGCACAAGTGTCACCGTTAAAATGCAATTACCATTACATATGTAATATAATTTCAAGAATTACTCATAATTACGCATGGTTAAATTAGACAAACTATATTATTATAATTATAATACAAAAATGTCGATCTATAAATATTTTGATCATTTTCACAAAAGTTTAATGGCAACCAGAATATTTTGTTGCATGAAAACAAAACAAAGAACTGAGCCCCTGCTTTAAAAAAAAAGTTTATTCTAGCTTCATGCAATCTTTTTTGCTATCCACACTTGACTTGAATGAGGGTAAGTTTCATGAAAAAAAGCAACAGTTTGAGCAAAAAGCTGAGAAAATCAAATTTTTGTAAAAGACTACACCTGGATCAGATTCAGAACGATGATCAAAACATAGATGAAATGGATCACTTTCATCAACACATCTAAAGCTTGCACAGTCCTATACCACTTTCTGGATCATCATTTCATTCTGTAACATTAGGCCATTTTACATTTTTATTTTTCTATTTTACATATGCATCTGCTTACATACGCGATCACTTATTTCTCCTCCTTCACCGTGTTTTGATCCAGACGTTCAGTACTCTTTCAGAAGATGCGTAATAGCCCCTCCTACCATATGCCAGTGAAAACAGAAAACTCCATCCATGGCAGGGAAAGAGTTAATAATAATATTAAAGGGATAGGTCACCAAAAAATTAAAAATTGTCATCATTTACTCACCCTCCAGTTGTTCCAAACCTGTATGGACTACTTTCTTCTGTTGAACACAAAGGAAGATATTTTGAAGAATGTTGGTAACCAAACAGTTGACGGTAGCCATTGACTTCCATAGAATTTTCTTTCCATACTGTGAAAGTCAATGGCTTCCATCAACTGTTTGGTTACCAGCATTCTTCTTTTGTGTTTGGAACAACTTGAGGGGATAACGATGACAACTGGAATAAAAGATGACAACTTTTATTATAATAAATAAATCAAGTCTTAAGTATTAATAATAATACATTAATAATAATTACAGTAATAATAAATACATTAACGCTAAATTCATTATTATTGTTTTTGCTATTATTATTATAATTTGTATTACTATCATTTTATTTGTATTGTTATTCCTATTAATATTAATATTTCTTTAACTTATTTGATTAAATATTTTAATTAAATAAAAATTACACAATGATTGTGTGTACATGTACATGCAAAATGATTTTTTTTTTCTGCAAATGTCACTTTAGGCTTTCCATAACATGCAGTATTTACTTCTCACTAATCAGTATAAGCAAGAATATCGTTTTCAACATGGCCAGAGACGACTGGGACATGTTTTTCTTTTTGTTTTGTTATTATGTATTTCGTCTTTTAAACACTTCAATGACTTGATCGGCCTGGGAAAGTTGCACTTTCAGATCCAGTATCCCTCTTCGCAGAACTGTTTTGCCCATGCTGAAATCATGTAAACTCAGTATAAATGTCATAAGCCGTTCCATCTACACCTGCCATTCCTTCTAGACATCACTTCAGTATCACTTGAAAGCATATCATTCTGTAATACATACATGGGTTAAAAACGGCCTCTGTGGCCTTTACAGTAGTGTGCTGCAAAGATTTCAAATCTACGTTGAGAATTTCTCTCTGTTCACTCTCTGATGAATATGAGAAAAATACTCAGCGCACAGGCAGAACAGATCAACAGATCTTCAATATTGTCAAATTTGTCTGCTGGCTTTCTGCTGACAGCTCGGTCTCATAGCTCAAATCCCCGCGGAACATATGCGCACTGATGCTCGTAGTCCTACCGACTGATACCGCGTGTCATTTCAAAGAAGCGACAAGCCGTTAGCTTGGGGAAACAATGGCATTTGCCTGCCTCTGAAATTGCAATACGCCACTGTTTGCATTAATGTCAGCAGCGTGACTGGAAGACTCCAACAGCGGCAGAGGAGAGATATTATATGATTTCTTTATGGAGCTCCCAGTGTCCACAAACAGAGAGGCTGCGGGTAAAGCGGATTGACTATCTTGAGGACAGAATGGTGGTTTTGCGTCAGCGAGCTGCTGTCTGCTCCACCGCTGGGCTGTTTGTGCTCTCTTGCGGTTAGTGAGCAGGGAGTGAAATATTGTCTCTGTGATGGAGACTTAACAATGTTGCGCACTGTAGGGGTCCGGCTACATACTGCTGTAAGTCAAAGAGCTTTTCAAGATTTACCATGCCATGGTGTGACCAGAGAAACAGAGAGAGATAAAGCCTTGCTTTAAAGTCTGTCTCTATCTATCTATCTATCTATCTATCTATCTATCTGTCTATATGTCTGTCTGTCTGTCTGTCCATCTGACTATCTTTCTGTCTGTCCTATTGTTCTATCTTTTTTTGTTCATTTGTTCTTTCTACCATTCATTCTATCATTCTATTGTTTTATCAATCTTTCTGTCGCTCATTCTGTTGTTTGCTTTGATGTTTGTTTGTTCTGTCTGTCTTTTGTCTGTCCTACCATTCTGAATTTTTTGGTTCTGTTTATCATTTGTTCTATCATTCATTCCATCATTCTATTATCGATCAATCTTGCTGATAGAATCCTTCATTCTATCATTCACTTTATATGCTGTTTGTGCTGTCCTTTGTCTGTCCTATCATTCTATCATTCTTTTGTTTCATTCATTAATTTTTTCGTTCATTCTGTCTGTCTGTCTGTTGTTGTTTCATTGGTTCTGTCTATTGTTACATCTGTTGTTTGTTCATGCACTCTGTCCTATGTATCTGTCTGTCTGTCATTCAGTAATTCATAACATCTGTCTATCATATGTGACCCTGGACCACAAAACCAATCATAAGGGTCAATTTTTTGAAATTGAGATTTATCATCTGAAAGCTGAATAAATGAACTTTCCATTGATGTATGGTTGTTAGGATAGTGGTTTGGAACGACATGAGGGTGAGTAATTAATGACACAATTTTCATTTTTGGGTGAACTATCCCTTTAATTCTGTCTGTTGTTCATTCTGTCTGTCATTTATTGTTATTGTTTCTTTTTGTTCTATCTATCTGTCTTTAATGAATTTGTTCTGTCTGTCTTTCATTTGTTTCATCTTTGTCATTCATTGAGTCTGTCTGTACATCTATCAATTCATCTATCTTTGTTTATCTAAAATCAATTCTAAACTTTCAGGGTTAAATTCATTTTCCTTATATTCAAAGCAGTGCATACTGTTTGCTACCACAATTCAGTCCATGAATTCAGACATTCTCAGTTCGACTGAGATTAGAATTTGCCAGATCTAAGTTCTTTCCCATTTTATGTGGAACATTCACATTCATGGTCTGTGAACAGACTGTTTTGAGTCTGAGACTACATGCACAGCAAACAATAGCAGTCTGATAGTTGAATGACAAGGGCAGCATTTAAAGCCAAATACCCCCATGTAGATAATAGGCCCAATGCTGTTGCTCAAAGTGCATGTGTTTTCCACACACGTGATGTTGACATTGATCTGCTCAGTGTCTTGTCTTGATCCCAGCGGCGACGATAGCGCAGTCCATCGCTGCAGTGTGACCCCTATCAAAAACTCTCCGAGATGACTCCTATTGTGATGTGATGAGAGTCGAAATTGGCTTGATAATATTGTTTGTGCAGATTCCACAAAAGAGACTGTTGTGCTGCACATGCGAAGGACCAAGATTAGTATTTTTTCAGTGGGTTTTCAGAACCCAAGTGTACAATAAGACGCACAATGAAATGATTAATGATGTGAAATGAGATGTTAGAATAGTATGTCTTCTGCAGTGCTCGGTTTCAAATGGACCACTTGATTTGGTCTTACACAACATTACATGCAGCAAAGTGTAGATGTAGAAAGCAGAAGGCCTTTCTTTCTTTCTTTCTTTCTTTCTTTCTAAGCTTTTTCTTAATCTTTAGCCCCGGCTTTTCCATCTCAGAAGTTCAAAAACGTAGCTTGCTCTCTGCCCATATTTCAAGGCATTGGATTTTGTCAACCCGACAGACCGGTGGTGATATTTATTGGCAGATTGTTGCAAAGCCATTCATAATTATTCTACATTCACCCTGCACGTATTTGGGTAGAGGAATATGGAGACTGCTGAATCAGCAACCCTGTCACTGCAAAATAAATGCTCATGATCACAATGACAGGAATCGTTATACAGTATGTATATATATATATAGTTATATAGTGCTGTTAATTGATTAAAACATTTGAAATAATTAATCATACTTTTTTTTCTGAAATTAATCGCGATATGAAGAGTTCTGTGCCGTTTGAAATTTTCTTCTGTGTAGATTCAGTAATTTCACTTTAATGGCAATGAATAGGTTCTTTTCTTTGCCATTAAAGTGAAATAACTAAACATAAACATAGGAGCCTGAAAACCTTTAGCAATTTGTTGCTGATCTATTAGATTTTACGCATTTTCATAAACAGAGTTTATTGCTGAAATATGAGATATTGCTTTAATATTAGCACTCCTTGCACCATGATCAAAAAGCGCTTCTTTTTCCCACAGGAATCACATACTCAACTCAAAACACAATTTTGACTTACTTTTGGTCTGCAAATAAAATAGAGGATAAGCAGAGCATATCCATCCCAACGCTCTTGTGTTTTAGTCCACGCTACCTGCAGTTCATTTATCATCCTGCAGGGGGCAGTGTGGCTCTGTCAGTCCCACCCTGCTCTCTCCCATTGAGAACACAGCTGCTGCACCTGTTGATGCTCTGCAGTCAGCGAGCCTGTGAATAACGTAATGCTCTGTGGGCCTTTTAGGAGCCTCCTCTAAAAGAAACACATCTGGCCAGTGATGGCGCAATTAATTCTCCTCCGTCGGGTGAAGCTAAGTTGTCTGTGTCTTTTGTCTGCACGCTTTTTATTTCTCCGGAGGACGTCGCGAGTGCTTGATAATCATCTAACGTGGCCGTATTTCCTCCAGCGAGCTTTACAGAAGTATTTTCCTATTTTCTACACATCAAATCTGCGCTGCGGCATTTGTAACAGTGATTACAAGACGCCGAATCTCCGGAGTCCACGATGACAGGACATTTCCATATTCTGAGACATCATATTCCACTGTAAAACTCCTAGAAATCCTTTGGCTACATTAGGCGGCCCCAAAAATCCTTCAAAAAGTCCAAGTTTGATAGAAACCATCGCAGACATTAATATTTCAGATTGCTGTGTTTGTGCAAGTCATAGAACTGCAGTGTTTAAGTTCATGACTCCCATACTGGGAGTTCAGGAGGGATACAAGCCAAAGAAGTAGATTCACAACACAGTTTCGGCTCTCCATTATAAAATATTATTCCCATAGCTTCGGAAATACCCAGAACACTGTGAAAGTGTTGTTCTTTTTCCCTTATTTCCTTTTGTAATTCCATCACCCGATTGATTTTCGCACGTGTGGAAGTAAATACCGTTGACCTTCATATAGCAAACACCGCTCTCTGCCACGGCCTCCATTAGATGCACTGAGTGCACAGCGCGATTGGCTGCTTTCCAACCCCTTCATCAGAAGCAAGGAGACTTTGGGCCGAGAGTCCGGCAAACTCCCTCGCATAGAGCCCCCTGCCCCTTTTCTGAGCGTCTTCGGCTGGAGAGATTTATGGAGGAACCAGCTGAATACTGAGCTTGGAGGATTTCTCTTAAAGGGGTCATATGATGCTGCTAAAAAGAACATTATTTTGTGTATTTGGTGTAATGAAATGTGAGTGGAAATTCTTTTGACAGTTTCGCAGGCGGGCTTTCAAACATTGATTTAATAATGTCACTTCAATCCTGGAAAGAGATCAGTGGCAGTCACACAGTGAATCTGAAGCAAATCTCCTGCTCAGATAGATAGATAGATAGATAGATAGAATCAAAATGAGCTAGAATTAAAATTGCATTAAAATGCATCACTTTCCATTTGGAATAATACCAAATGGCCATTTAATCATAACTGTTTCCTGTGCAACCGTTTTAGGTGTTTGTCAAGTCCCAGAGGTGGCCTTTTAAAAACATTTGCATAAGTCGTGGGTACAAAAATACTTCTATTTAATTGTACGCATGAACTACAATATCCACTTCACCAGTAGCATTGTGAAGAGCTGTTTGTCTGTTTCTAATGCTATTAGTGAATTTCTGAAACCACAAAGCAGATCAACATGGAGTAGTTGGTCCCAAAAGACTCTTAGTGCAGAGTAAGTTCAGTGCAGTGCAGCAAACATTAAGTTCATTTGAATAAGCAGTTTGGTTAAAGGGGTCATATGATGCGATTTCAAGTTTTCCTTTCTCTTTGGAGTGTTACAAGCTGATTGTGCATAGATAAGATCCCTGAAGTTGCAAAGACATTTTAACATTTTTATCATACATTTTATATTAATTTAAATTTTTATTTATTTTTATTTTTAGATTATCGTAAAAACTATTTCTATTTCTATTATATTTATTTTGTTTGTTTTGTTATAAGGCAGCTTTGGAAGGTTTATTTTTTTTTGCAGAGAAGGCAATACTATAAGCAACAGACTGTGAAAAATCCATGCAAGATGGCTGACAAAACAACACATCTTTATGATAATTCTTTCAGAGTATAATCTTAAGTATTTTTATGGTTATTTCAATATTGCCTGGTTAGTTTAGCAACATGCTAATGCCAATCTCTAGCAGACAACAAACAAACAAGGTCTTGAAACTGAGTCGTAAAGTGTAAAAAACTGCTCTGAATTAAGCGTTAATTCATATAAAACACTGAATACTAAGCACAGCACTAAATGAGGTCGCTTTTTGAATTCCTAGTGGGCAGCTTGTGTAGCCTATATAGTAATGTGACCATTTTGATAATAAATATTAGAAGTTAATTTAGTTGCTAAGATACAGATTCTTGGCATTAACAAAGAATTGCGTCCCTGGTGTTTTATTGCTTCTCATTCAATATTCTCAATTAGAATTGACAGGAAATATTGTACATTTAAAAGGAAAACCTAACTGTCACTGTAAGAGGAGGGAAAATATAGTAACAAATGTTAGATTCAATCTTCTTGCTGTTTCACTTCAGTAAGCATTGCAAAAAACAAAAACAAAAAATAATTATATATATATAAATATGAATGAATGAATGTCATTATAGATATTGTTTTAAATATTGTTTTTCTTAATAAAAAATAAAGGACAAACTCATATTTCATAATGGCACTGTACATTTAACAGCTACAACAAAGATGTATGATGCATGTTACACAGCAATGTTGTTGTGTGTGACCTCGTAGTTGCGTTGCAAGAAATCAAGCCATCAGTGTCCTAATATTTAGTACAACAAGACCCTTACTAGTGGACGTATTCTTGTTCACGATATACTGATTGACATGGAGAATAAGGGGTGCTATGAGACACAACCGCGCTTACCTCAGGCACCAGACCTGTCACTGGCTTAAAGAACGGAAATGAAGTCTTCTCCCAGAGTGTCTCTTTCTCCGCCATCTTGTTTTTGATCTCATTTAACCTTTTGTGCCATACTGAGAAATCTTTTCGCTCTGACAGGCAGAGTCACATGCTTTTTTGTTCCCTCTCCATCATCCCAATGTTATTGCATTCTGTTGATATGGCTCTTTAGTGCCCGAATGATGTATGTTCTTATTACATTTTATTAATAAACAGCACAACAGAGCGTGACATGAGAAAGTGAGAGCGAAAGAGAGGTCAATTTGAATATGAATGATACATACAGATGCTTCCAATAAATATTAGCCTGTTTCTAACATGCTAGCTAGCAAAAAAAAAGTTTTTTTCTACCAAAAACAAATCTGGTGTGTATTCAAATGGACACTGTGTTCTTCATTAAATGGATGTCAGCCTCTTAGACTTTAATTATTCAGGAGCCTTCTGGACAAAGGACTTGGAAGGAATGATGATGAATGATATGCATCTTTTTTGGTACCCTAAGACCCAGACAAATAATACTGCTATTGCGCATGTGCAAGTTTTTTTTTTTTTTTTCCTCTAGACTCTGCCAGCAGTGGTAATGAACAAAAGTTGAGTCATTTCTTTAATGTTACTATTACTGTTAGCATAGTTTTTACCAACAAAAGTGTAGCATAAGATAACAATGCTGCTGTCCCCACATGCTTCAAAGCTACCACCATCATTCCAGTCCCAAAGAAGTCGTCTCCGTCCTGCTTCAATGACTACCGTCCAATTGCACTTACCCCCATCCTCATGAAGTGCTTTGAACGGCTAAAGCAGACTTGACTTGACTTGACTTGACTAAACTGTCTTTTTGTTCACTGTATTTACCATTGTACAATTTAGTGAATCAGTTTGTTCAGATGATTCAAACAGAAATGATTCGGTGATTCACAGAAGTCTCAGTTTGTCATATTGTTTCTTTTTAGAGCAAAATGTTTAGTTAGCTTTAGCTGTTAGCAGTTTCTAGTGTAGCTAGCTATGATTAGCCTTTAGCTCGGTAAGCTCCGGTTGTCTGGTAAGCACATTCTAACAAAACATTTCAGGCTGTCAGACTGAACATCTTAATTTCTGCAAATATAAATTTTCTATCAAGTACCGGTGTAGTACAGCAAATGATGCTGCTAACACATGTTCTAGTTATTTTTTCTCTCATATTGCAACACTGATTCATTTAGTTTTGATGGTTTCATTCAGTGAACTGGTACAAACAAATGATTTACCGATTCTCAAAGGTCTACGTGCACTATTTTGTCTTTTAATAGCAAACTATTTAGTTAGCTTCAGTGTAGGTTTGTTAAGAGCTCGTAGTGTAGCTAACTACTGTTATTATGATTAGCATTTAGCTTTGAAAGCTAAGTTTGTAGTAGCTTCTAAAACACTGTTTTTCAGACGTATTTTCTGATGAGACATCACATTTTTAAGGTTGTTGGTCAGGCTGAACATTTTAATTGATATTTACATGCTGTAAATGTCAAGTCAGCTGTTTTTCATTAATATTAACTTTGATCTGGCTTGAATCAATTCTTAAGGTAAGGTTACATTAACCAATGTTTGGCCAAATGTTTTGGCCTCACGTAAAAAAAAATTCCCAATCACATGTATTTCTTATTAAAAAAGACTGGATTTACTTCCTAAAATTAGCAAATTAATGCTAAATGTGACCGCATTTTTTCTGCTTTAGGGAGAATCTTTGAATGTTTCATGCAAGCTGTATTATAAACATCCTGTATTATAAAGTTACTGAATGTTCTCTCTATGCTCTTCTAAAGAGGTCAACTGTCGGACTGCTGTTGCGAAAGGCTACATTGCGGATCTTCTGAAGCTGTACGAAGACTGGCACAACAATGACGTCAACCTTAAGAACATTCCTATCCGTAGAGCCCTACTTCATTGTCTGCAACGTGCCGCCAACTCAGCTGTGGGCAGAGACACCCTGGTCGCCGAAGGTGGCATTAGTCTTCTCTTCCAGACCACTCAGGTGATATTTCAGTCCACTATTTGGTCCCAAAGTTATAGTTACATCTCCTATCCTGGTGTTTTTTTGTGCAGTTGAACTTTTTTTTACTACCTTCTGTAATTACATTTCTCTATTCCTAATGCTTTTATCATTTCTACTGCTAAGTAAACCGGCCCCAGACATTACCAGATGCTCTAACTGTCTGCTAATGTGCTGTAAAGAAGCAAATTTTAGCTTCTGATGCATATTTTGCCCAGAGGAAATGCCGCTTGGAGATGACATGTAGCGCCTTGAAGTGTTTCTAACCGATTGCATTTCATCTGAAGACCTGCTTGACCATGAAAGGCCTTGAATCTCTGGCGGAATCGGCGATCCAGCTGATGAGGAAGTGCAGTCCCAAAGTCCCTCTTCCACTGACCTCAGATAAGAGCGCCTTCAGCTTTCCTCTTCCTGGGAGGCCTGTCGATGACTGGGATGTGATCCATTTCAAAATGTAATTCTTGAGAGAAAAAACACATAAGTTGCATCAGTATATAAGTCACATTTTATTACATAGAATGTAAAATGCTATTAAATAAAACAAAACAAAACATTATAAACATTATATACAAGCATTATAAACACCATAAATATTTTTTAGTTCCTCATTCCACAACAAATCCTTTAGATTTAATGGTATTTAGAACAGGAATGAAAAATGTAGTTAAAACAAACACAAATTGTAATGTAATTCATTAAAAACAACATTTATTATAAGCTAATTTTTAAAGTTAAATGTGTCCATTAGGGACACTGAGTCTGTCCCACTAGAGCTATTTAGCCTTTACACACTGCCTCTGGCTATTAGTGCCTGACAAAGTCCTTATCAGCCAGGCCAAATTTGCCGTTGTTATCACATAGGCGCTGGGCATTTAATGACTAGAAAATTCTTTCAATGTCAACACAATATATTCCAATTTTCCTCTATTAGACTTCGATAGCAAGAATAGTGTAATGCTGAGTACGTGAGCTGGGAAAGTTCAGAGCGTTTATATCCAGACTACAGCATGTGGGAAATGTTCTATACAAGTAAGCTCACATGCCTCTGTAATTCTATATAAAATAAAACATAATTTAATATGAAATAAAATGTAGAATATATTCACAATTTACATTTATATATTCAGAATTATAACTATATATTCAGATTGACATCTATATATTCAGATTTGTATATAATTATTTCCTGTTTGGCACCTCATATTAGTATTATATTAGTAGGCTATATATTATACAATGTATGTATTATATGATTTACCAATATTATATATTATTATTTACTAGTAAATACCTGGATAAAAAACAAAAGGCTGATTATAATGCACTGGACACATGACCATGTCTACACTTGATATAATTTTTTTTTTAATTTAAGATATAGTTT